CTGTGTGTAAACGTGTCTGTGTGTAAACGCGTCTGTGTGTAAAAGCGTCTGTGTGTAGACGCATCTGTGTGTAAAAGCGTCTGTGTGTAAAAGCTTCTGTGTGTAAAAGGGTCTGTGTGTAAAAGCGTCCGTGTGTAAAAGCTTCTGTGTGTAAAAGCGTCTGTGTGTAAACGTGTCTGTGTGTAAACGCGTCTGTGTGTAAAAGCGTCTGTGTGTAGACGCATCTGTGTGTAAAAGCCGTCTGTCTAAAAGCGTTGTGTGTTAAAAGCTTCTGTGTGTTAAAGGGTGTGTGTTGTTTTTAAAAGCGTCCGTGTGTAAAAGCTTCTGTGTGTAAAAGCGTCTGTGTGTAAAAGCTTCCGTGTGTAAAAGCTTCTGTGTGTAAAAGCGTGTGTGTGTGTGTAAACGCGTCTGTGTGTAAACGCGTCTGTGTGTAAAAGCGTCCGTGTGTAAAAGCGTCTGTGTGTAAAAGCGTCCGTGTGTAAAAGCTTCTGTGTGTAAAAGCGTCTGTGTGTAAAAGCTTCCGTGTGTAAAAGCTTCTGTGTGTAAAAGCGTCTGTGTGTAAACGTGTCTGTGTGTAAAAGCGTCTGTGTGTAAAAGCGTTCGTGTGTAAAAACTTTTGTGTGTAAAAGTGTCTGTGTGTAAAAGCGTCTGTGTGTAAAAGTGTCTGTGTGTAAAAGCGTCTGTGTGTAGAAGCGTCTGTGTGTAAAAGTCTCTGTGTGTAAAAACTTCTGTGTGTGTAAAGCTTCTGTGTGCAAAAGCGTCTGTGTGTAAAAGGTTCTGTGTGTGAAAAACTATACGAAGGATAGGGTGCAAACTATTGTCTTGTACTTGTTATATATTGTGTTGATACTACTCTTCTCGTCTGCCAATCATACATCTTTAATATATTGTCTTGTAATATTGTGTCTCAATACTAACAACAGAAGACCCTGCTCCTCTACGCTCTCGGGCCATCCGCTGTCTAGTTCTAGAGGGTTCAGAAGCAACGTTAGGCATGGAGAGCCGTCCCGCAGAGCCCAGTGAAACCTCCACAGCTGTGAGGGTTCAGAAAGCGCCGTTAGGCACCGAGCCGTCCCGCAGAGTCCGGAGACCTGGCCTCGCCACAGCAAAACACCACCGAGCTGGAGATTTCACCGGGTTCTCGATGCCTAACATCGCTTTCCGAGCCCTTTAACCAAGCAGCTGTCGAGGCAAGGAAACGACTGGTTGATGCCTAACGTCGCCTTCTGAACTCTATAGAAAAACAAATAGGGGCTGCCAAGGATCTGGCTTCACCGCAGTTTTAAGGAAATGGTTTCACCACAATGAGACACCACCTGGACCTAGCTGCAAAAAATAGTTTGTTGCCGATTTCTCACTTGGTCCATGGTGGAGAAGACAACACTTTTCCTGGAGCGCGCTCCCCCTTGCTGTTGGCTGGGGTCGGCGGGCATAATACTGTAAAATAGTTATCATTTTATGCTCACATTGATATAATGATGCTGTGAGGCCTTGAGGCATCGGTTGTCACATCGACACATTGAATTTCGGCCTGTGTGGGCTTCATTTCATCTTGTACATGTCTTCAAAAAGCTTCAAAGAGTCAAGTATGCATCCTCCCACTCATGTGTTCCAGGGTCGGGCATGTCCACCTTAATGTCACGCGCTTGCGCAAGGTCGTGCGAAGGAAGGTGGTTTGCGATTCGGAGAGATGGACACTCGCCTGCAAATACTTCACAACAAAAGGAAAATGCATAACAAGGCATAAACAAGGCAAGATTGGCTGCAAGAAAATTCGAAAGAAGATCAAGAGACTGCAGTGCACTGAGGAGCGTGACTGCATCATCTCCCATGGCGCAGCCAAGTTCTTGAAGGAGCAAATGAAGCACTTCTACCACAAAACAAGAATATCATATATATATATATATATATGTATAATTAAAGAATATAATATAATATATAATTGGGCTGTGTTACATTGAGGGAGTTCGAAATCAACGGAGAATGTTATTCTCGGACATTTGGACAAAACCAGAAGCCTTGGGAGGCAAGAGCTTGATATTAGCAGATCAAAAATAGCGTCGCAAAATATGCAACCCAGCAGACCGTTCTAAGTCTTGGCGATGGGTGCCCCCTCAAATGCTTAAATGCTTGAACAGTGGCTTCAGAAACTGAGAATTCTGAAAAGCTCACACACCAAGGCATGTACTGTGTTGAAAAACATCCAAAGCTTCGGCCGGCAACACAAACAGGTGGCCCCAACAAAAGCAAAACGACGCACCGATTTAAACTCTTGCCCAAAACTTGTGAAATGGAGCAGAAGAAATTAAAGCGACAAGCGACAACATCTTTTGGGATGTTCTGGGCCTTTAATACAATTGCCGTCTTCCATGGATTTCATATCCGCATTTCTGGCTGGAAAAGAGCAAGCGCAAAGCAAGGGTTTGTGTTTGCGATATGTTTGTGATAGTTGGTGGACCCCTGCTGCTTGTAGTGCCTCATTGCCAGGGTCGTTGTTGCA